ACAGAAATTGTAGACTATTATTTGCAGACTTCACTTCTTCGTCATCGGTAACTTTTTCCCTCTAAGCTCTTTCTTCAGTTTTAGCAACAAATAATAATCACAAGGAGTTAAATCTAAACTATAAAGAGGATGGTTTAAAGTTTCGAAGCCACACTTGTTTAGGGCAGTCATGGCAACATGACTTGTAGACATGTTTATCGTACAAGAGGAGCACACTTGAATCTATTTTCCTCTTTTCCTTTATAAAATTACGTCATTTAGTTTTTATAGCAGTGTAGCGTAGTGTTCTCCCATTATATTGAAACCTTTTTCTTTATAATCAACCAACAAAATTCACTCAAGTCCCAGAAACCCGTGGCAACGATCTTTCCAACTGCTTATGACCTGAAACTTCTTAGGCGGTGCTGCACCTTTTTTACACCACTGCTGAGTCTTTTTTTTTAATCAGGTTCACAGTTATGAACCCTAGTTTTATCTTCATTAACAATCCGGTTCATAAATTCATCTCTGATCTTACTACACAGGGTTATAATCTCGCGAAAACACTCGACAAGCTGTTGCTTTTGAAGCGATGAGAGAATTATATATCACCGACCTTTAACATGCCAAGATGGTTATGAATGAATGTTCAAAATCATTGTAGTTGATAACGCAATATTTTTTTACGGTTAATTCCCTTTTCAAACGCGCATCTTCAAGACCTTTTTTTTGTTTTGTTGATAATATCTGTGGAGGTCGCTTTGATAGGCCGTTCTGAGCGCTGGTCATCATGAATCGAAACTCTGCCTGCTTAAATAAGTTATGCCGCTTATAAATCATCGTATTACCGGGCCAAGAGTCCCCGTAAATGGATGACATCTCTTCCATAATGATCTGCTGTGTTTTTCCAGGTTTGGAGAGAAACTTAATCATCGCACGAATCTCTATTTTCTCCATAGTTGATGCTCTCTTCTCGATTAGCTTGTTTATTCAGTGATATCTCAAACGTTTAAAGGCAAAGGCGATTGGACTGAAAATTGGTATTTATAGGTGTATTAAGACGACAAGCACTACTAAGTAAAAGAAACTTCCCGCCACCCCTTCTTCCCATCCATTCCGCGAACTTTTTGACCTCTCGTATATAAAAAACTAAAACTTGCAACGTCACTATTTTAGATCTCCTAACTCTCTAGCTACTTAGTTCTAAAATATGACTAATTATCTTTTTTATGATTTACCACAGTTTGGAAATAAAAAGTCTGGTTCTCAATGTCTGACTAGACTTTCAATTGTTATTAACTATAATTTAGACTTCTTGTTCTTTAACCATACCTATCACTACAAATAATGACAAAATAAAGGATCTTATTAAATATTTTAGAAAGAAAGAAAATGTTTTATTCAGTGACACAAATTAGTACATACGGGTTATAACACTGAATTCAGAGTTTTTAGAACTAAACGCAACATTTTTTCTTACTAGTCATACACAGAACTAACTCATCTTCATGCCAAGTTTCGAGAAGTTTTTATATTTCATAAAAGAACATGCAACTGTAGTCAAGATGGTGCACAGAAAATTGGGCTTATTTATTTAAGAAATAACCGATTTTCCATTTTATTTATATCGCGTAATAAAATTTACTCTATATAAACCAGCCGCTTTCAATTTAATATCTGTAAAAAATATTTACGAACTTACAACACAATTATTAAAAAGCTTCATTCGAACTGAGGCGAATCCCGCGAGAGACGTTCGATTCACCGCAGTAGTGCGTTTGCCTGTTATGTAAGCTATCCAAATCCTATGCGTTGTGTAAGACCTCATGGACCCAATATGTTCCCTTCTCGGAGTCGTCTCTAGCCCAAACTAACGCTCGTGTGCAATTATGACTTTAGCGCCCTCTAGTGAATGTCAGCTAAAATGTAATAGTAGCGAGAGGCACTCGGCGCATCCTGAAACCGTTGCACCTATGTGCAACGCACACTGTGCACCATAGGCAAAGCCGCCAGGCACGCTTTTTTTTTGCACTGCTGTACAGAATCAGAATACTCATTTTTGTTTCTTAGGTTTTCACGCGCATCAGTCATTAAATAAAACGATTTTAAGGGTTATATGCACTGAATTTACTTATCTGACGTTTCGCAGCCTTTTCAGGTCTGCTTCTTTAGAAATAATGATTTTTTATTTACTTTGTCGAGCTACCTTCGAAAGACTTTTATTGAGCGTTCGGATATTTCATTGGGAGATTTTTAAAGCTTTATTGTCCATGCTTGAATTTATTAGCTAATTTAATTAATAAAGTAATTTATTTAATTCTTTTTTATAATTTTGAGTGTATTTATTTGACCTTAACTACCGTAAACTACCACCGGTTCCAAAATTGGAGAACATTCTAAGAAGAACCGGCGAAACAAACTCAGGGAGGCTTTCTATCTCCCTCTTATGTCAAATTATGCAAACAAAAAGAACTAACAGTATCTATTGGTCTTGCAGTGTGCTTGGGGTTGGGATTTTATCTGTTGTATAATGGGTTCCCAAGGTGGTGGTATATACCAACCATCTTCCCTATTGAAATTTGGATATTTCTTAATCTCAAAAGCTTCGCGTATCATTCTAGGAATGAATCGTTGTTCAGTTGCGAGGATCTGTGGTTTATCAAATCTAATGTAATGATTTGGTCCCCCTAATGCATGTTCACACACTGCAGACTGATGAAACGTCAGATAAATAAATTCAGTGCATATAACCCGTAAAAATCGTTCTAAGAATACACGTTTTCCTTTAGAGAAACCTAAATTAATAACGCACGGGTATTCTTAACTTTATTCAGAATTCGCCATCGTTATTAGTAGGTGTACAACAATATTACAATATTTTGATATGATACTCAAGTAAACTACTAATAAATTGTATCTACACCCATGCTTTAAATCCTTAATAGAGATTCTGAAACAGTTAGATTTTTGCCAAGATTAAAATAACAAATGTCATAAATAAAAAAAATAATTGTAACACCCAAACGGTTGTTATAATGTGTAATATTATAATTAGGTATTAAAACACTCATGTGAAACAATTATAACACAAGGCCAATCTTGTTTTAATTACTCTCATTAAACAACAATGTATAAATAACTATAACACAATAACACCATGGACCAATTTCGAAGTTTGATAATAGGCTACTTGACACTTTTTGGCAATATGTTTTAAATGGTTAATAAAATAGAATTTCCATGGACATAAAAATAACGCTGTCGGCCATTTTAGTCTATAAATTTTCTATGCTATGACGTCCACAAAATCGTAAACAAACATTCGGAAGCACGTAGGAAATAACCTGAATCTAAATTTATATTTAGATTTCATGATAAATATAATAATTATCATGATTGAATTATACGAGAATGTAGAAGCGGATCGTTAATGACTCCAGAAAAGTTGTGGTTTTTATTGTCTAGAGCAGTGTTTCCTAACCTTTCCAATACTGCTACCCCTGTAACCTATTAGGAAAACAGATTTTACCCCCACTTTAAAATGTTATCATCAGTCCAAGAAATTCCAATTTGGCCGCTACATCTTCGTCTCTAATAATGTCATCATCAGGAGAAAATCTCGCCCCGCTTCCCACACTCAGCACCCCGCAGGCTCACTACAAGAAGGAGCGCATTTAGTAGTATTATTATATAGTATTTTCTTATTATTTAGATTTGATCAAATAATTAGGTTCTTTGTTACCCCCGAAGTATGGCTGATTTACCGGAGGGGTAATTACCCCCAGGTTCGGAACCCAGGGTCTAGAGAAATACACATACCTACACATGAACAGTCATGTTTAAAACTTTCTAAATCATGTAAATTTACCGTCTGAAAGTCATTTCTTTTAGCAAAGATCACTTGAATAATATTTAAAGTTTAAAAATACAATTTTTAAAGTTATGAATGTACCTACTAAGTCAAAGAGTTTTGTCGTTTCTGCTTTCACAAATCCGGCGTCCAGCATTAATTTCGTCAACAAAACCAATAAACGGATTTTTTTCTACAAGATGTAAGAGTTTTTAGATATATTTTAGTCAGACGAAAGACACCACAGTAATACAACAATGACGTTTAGTTGTTTACTAACACATTAACTAATTTGTTGACGTCACAATCATGGTGGATAGCTTTTTGAGTGTTTAAAAAACAGACTAAAAACTATTTTTGAAGTTATACTTCTTTAGCCGCGTTATGAAAAAATTATGAGAGTGAAATTTTAAGATGCGTGCGCATCACTGTAACACAAAAGTAACATAATGAAGTTAGCCGCGGGCGCGTTATGAAAAAATGATGAGAGTGAAATTTTAAGATGCGCGCGCAACACAATGAAGTCGGCCGCTAAACCGCACATTACTCGTAAGTCTCGAAAAAAAGCTTCCAACAAAATAGTAATAGGATCTCTTAGTCGCACATGTTGGGACGCTCGTCGCCTCTGATCACTGTTTTCATATTTATAATATTTATCCACATGTTTCTAGTTTCTATATTCTTAACACGTGTTATAATGTTATACAAATGCGAAATTTATATGTGCTAATAAATTTTATTCAGTAGTGATTTAAATTGAATATTTTGATTATTTATTAAATTTTTCAAATTAAAACTGAACTTTATTGACTGCGTTGACTATCCTTTTCCAATCCTTTTATTATCTTATTGTAATTAATTATCTGCATGCAATTAAAAACTATTTTTTAATAATTCCAAAAAGAAGTATAACTTCTCACGCGCGTACTTAAGTACACGCACCCATTTTTTTTTTAAATTAAATTACTACAGCCATCTTCTAATTTTATGAAGTGAAATCGGCATGAGTCAAGTAGCCTATTGTAGTAGAGGTTCGTAAATATACATATCTGAAATATCAAATTGAACGGTAATGTGATATAAACTGTACTTATACAATAAATTAAAGGTTTGCTTAACTTATTATGATTTATTTTCTTATCTGTAATTTTTTCTTTATTTGAAGTTTATTTTACTGTATGCAATTATTATGAATTTGTTTCTCCTTTTTAGTTTCTTTTGTTGATTCGCCAGCATATTCATGGTTGCGAGTTGTGGGTTCGTCCTCTTGTGTCTCGATGTGTGAATGTTCATTACGCACAATTCCATTATTTGGATACGACATATAAAACTTGGGTTTTGTAAATCCATATGAAATACTTTTCTCATCTTGTTGGTAAACATCTTCCGTTTTTCGCTCCTGATTTGGATATGTTTTTTGGTTATTGGAATAATCCTGTATAAATTTGTTTATATCAAAAATTTTGAGATTATAGTTTTCTTCTTGTTTTGATTTTTGAGCTCTCTCAGTGTCTTCCTTGCTTTTATGAGGAACGTCTTGTCCATTAATAATGTAATTCTGTTGCGGGCGAGGCGATGGACACGGATTCGCACGCCCATAATCTATCTTTTGTACATTTGCACTATTCTCTCTCTGTATGATAACAACTGGCTTAGATTGAGATTGTTTCGTATCGTTTCGCGAGTTGTCATTAGCGCCCGGATGTTGGAACACGTTTGAGCTTTTTGTTGTAGAATTTTGAACCGTCGATATAATCTGAGCATCGGAATTTTGACTGCACAAGAAATTAGATTGATTGATGTTCGTCAATATAGAAGTCGGGCTCGGCGAGGGTTGCATGACATTCGGTCTTTGTAACGTGTGTGGATTAAGTATAGCTGCAACAATTACATTAAATTTAGCTGATGAAACAATGCAGTTGGTACTATGAGAAAATCATCCATATCAAAGGCTGATCTAATAATGCAGTTACTACTAAGAGAAAGTCATCCATATACAAATTTGGCTGATTAATTAATGTAGACGATACTATAAAACAACATCCATATAGAAAGCATGTTTGGTTGTAATACCGAGTGGTTTATATTGGGCGAGCTGCGCGTACACCTGCTTGATGCGCTCGATGTTGATCTGCGATGCCTTCGTGTGGTCTACCATTGGTAGCGGGTAGTGACGGCCCACGATGCAGCGCGCCGACTGCTGCACCGCTTCGGGCGCAAGCCACGGCTCGTGGATGTACCGGGTCGGCATGTTCTTCAGAGCCGGTATGTATCGCCTGCATTCGATATACGAATTAGCCATGTAATGTTGTGGTAGTATTCAATTAGTACTAGACTGTCACTTTACATGGCTATTCGTATTTGACAAAACACATGGCTATTCGTATTTGATAAAACATATGGCTATTCGCATTTGCCAAATAGATTAGTATTATTATTTGACAAAACACCGGGCTATTCGTATTTGACAAAACTTTTTAATAAAAAAATTAAATCGGCTATTCTCAGTTTTCGGCGGTTGAATTTTTTTGTTAAAAACGGTTTATTATGTTACTGTTTGTATCTTTAATTTTTGTAATATACAACTCTGCGTCAAAATTTGTGAGTGAACAATCAATAATCCCCTGTTTTTATACCCTTAGGGGTATTTTTTTTTTTCAAATTAATATAGAACTTCGGGGTATACCCTTTCCAAACAAAAAACGAATTATCAAAATCGGACTACTCTGTAAAAAGTTATGCGTATACATAAAAAAAACTAATATACGCGTCGACTTTAGAACCTCCTCCGTTTTTTTCGTTGGTTAAAAATACATTCGTATTTGATAAAACACATGGCTATTCATATTTGACAAAAGACATGGCTATTCATATTTGACAAAACACATGGCTATTCGTATTTGACAAAACACATGGCTATTCGTATTTGACAAAACACATGGCTATTCGTATTTGATAAAACACATGGTTATTCGTATTTGACAAAACACATGGCGATTCGCATTTGATTAACCAAATTTTACAGTAGTCTTACCATTTAATTATGATAATACTACTATAAAATTTAGTTTTGATAAATTGAATAGCCAAGTGAAGTGCTAGCATGATAATCATTTCATTTATTAGATAAAAATCCATAGCGTAGCATTTTACTTTTAAGCTTGACAGACCCCAGACTGGACAATAAACAAATATTGCTTACACTGCGAGGCTTGTGTTATGAGATGCTAGGGTAACAGTATATGATACGGAGATAAATTTATTTTGTAGAAATTTATACTACAATAAACGGTCATGATTCGGTACAAATGCTAGTAATCATGTTTATATGATGATGGAGGACTTTCAAGGGCCTCCTTAAAGTAGATGAAAACCGGTGTACATATCCCTCCAATAATCTCAATAACGATAGGCTATGGAATGCAATCAAATAATTATGTTTTAATAAGGTAAACTACAATAGAATAACGCACTCGAAAAAATAAATCAGTTACCTGATAAAGTCGCCGTTGGGGTCAGTTTTCCTTCCAAAACGCACAGGGCAATAGCAGTGAAAGAATTGTTGGAAAAACGACGAACAAGACAACCACATCCACATGCCTGCGTTCACTGACCAATCAGCATCAAGGAGTAGCTCATCAAATACCTAGAAATAACAGAAAATAACACAACAACTTGAGTGAAAGTACCTGTATACATAAATGAGCGTTTTGTAGATAAATTACGCGTTTTTTTTTTATTATTTTATACCCCCTACTTCTATCTTTTCTATAATAATAGTAAGACACTTATACAAAAAAAAAGACTTCCGGACACATCTATCGGGCCACCCAGCATTAAAAGTTTTAAAGGTCCCAAACTAAAAATAAATGTTTTATTGAGCAAAATGTTATTACCTACGCAGTTTTGAAGCTGATTTACTAACCATCTTTTCGTGTTTTTAAAATTTTTGCTCAACCTTAAACATATACACCGTGAATTTTGAGTTGCCTGAGAAACTTAAAAATCGTTTAAATAAAGTCTTAAATTTTAAATCAGTAAACGCACTACACCTACAAAAAATATTTATTTATATAGTTTACAAAATATCCTAAATCGGCGCAAATTTTTAAATAACCTAGTAAAGAAATCCTATCCGTTTAAGTATGTATGTAGATCCTAAAAGATTTATTTTTATCAATTTAATACAGTTAAAATCTTTACGGTTTTATAATTGCACAATTAGAGAGTTAACGTGAAGACATTTAAAGAATATATTTTTTGAAGAACCTAAATTTTTGGCGGAAATGTTACTTAATCGTTGTCTGAATTAGCTATTGAGTTTCTCAGGTAACTCAAGAATCACGTGTATTTTTGCTACAGATCGACGACACTTAACACTTAGTGGGTCGATAGATGTGTCCGGAAGTACATATAACTTATAAAAATAAAATCGCTATTTATATGTTAATGTTTTAGTAGTTTGTTCTGTTATTACTAAAATTGACAACAATTATCTGATCTAGTCATTTATCATGTCATGAAAAAAGTCTGACTTAAACGCGTTGGTTGCAGGTCATACTGAAAAATTACCTCTGTGCTATTTATTAAAATAATATACGTCGTCGAAAACTGAAATGTTTTCTCACTTGCCTTCATTCCTTCCTCCCATGATATCCAGAGGTCGCCCCGTGTTAAGAAGCAAGCAACAGCGTGTCGCGCTAGGTGGTGTATCCATCCTTCTTCTCGCAACTGTATCATGATTGCGTCGATCCACGGATATCCAGTTTGACCCTTTAACAATCAACTTAGTTACTATTCACCCTATTCATAAAGTTCAAATTCATCTTACATCAACTGTGACCGTGCTTACATTAGCCCATTTTGCTAAAGCCTCTTGATTCTTCTGCCATGGTATTTGGACGCAAATAGGATTTCCTTCCATACGATCGAAGTTCGGATTCCGAGTTGCGGCGCAGTAGAAGAATTCTCGCCATAGGATCTGCCCATGCAAAGACAATGGTGGTTGAACCCTCTTGATCCTTTTGTATAGTTCCGTCAGTTGGTAGTAGAACAATCTCGTCGATAAACATCCAAACCTATGAGAATTTACTTATTAAATACTGTTTAAAATTATTGTTACTATTTTTTCGAGAAAATCTATACATACTACCAACACACCTCAGGTATGGTGACAAACCCGTTTGACTAGCAAAGAGTGATTGAGGTGTCATTTTTGGACGCCCGAATGACGCCACCCAAGCTTTCCTCTCCAAATGACGCTCCAATCTAGTCAGTGCTTCACTTTCGCCACCTATCCATACGGGCGGTTTCAATCCTTCCGTATCAAACCCTGTTAACACAAAAGTTACGATTATTAATCTAACTTGTAGATTTATCGATGAATGTAGTTTCATTGCATATTATGTGCTAACGTTAAACGTAAAAACACATGTTAGAAACGGTGTCTATTATGGGTAGTTTAACAATTTTAACATAGACGCGAACTCACCCAGTAGCAGTTCGAGTTAAATATTTACAGAAACGAATATAAGTACATAAGCAACGTCATTAAGTAAGAATATTATTCGTTAATAATAAAAACTGCTCCGGTACAGACCGCTTTGTGTCGACGCCCGGGTTTTCAACAAACAAAGATGTTGTGATCTACTCATTCTCCGATGAAAAGATGGAAACATTTCAACAGAATCGATAACCTACCCAATTCTTCGAGCGTGGGGACGCCAAAACGATCATCATGATCGTCAGCTATTGGAGTGGTGGCACCGTTAAAGCCCTGTGCCGATATGGCGGCTTCGGCGGGCGGCGGAGGCGGCATGCTAGCAATCAACGCCTGGAACTGGTGATAAGTGAGCGGTGCCTTTCCACCATTACGTTCGATGATTCTAAAATGTAAGATTGTGTCATTTTGACGGTACAAAGTAAAACATTTATTTTGTTTATTGCATTAAACTAGCAAATAATTTCACTAAAAGACTTTAACACAATAAGACACAAAAGAAGTAAAAAATGATACAAACGGATATATATACGATACAGGAAAGCATAATAATTAAAGTACGTACATTACAGATGAAGTCAGTATGTGAACAGTTTTGGGGTTAATTGCAGTGATATATTTTACTTATTCTTAATTTTAAGATTACTGCAACAGAGTCCCAACGTGCTCATACGTTATTAAACATTACTGTTTCGTGCAACTACTCAAAAAATAAATAAATATTTCCAACACTCACACCAATTAGCCTAGCCCTAAAGTAAGCACTGTAAGGCTTGTGTTATGGGATACTAGGGTAACGGATTGAATACATATATTGTACATATATTTATGTAGAAATACATATTAAACATCCATGACTGGAATACAAATGCTCGTATTCATCACACAAACATCTGCCCCCACCGAGATTCGAACCCGGGTCCTCTCGAGTCGGCGACACCTTGAAACCCGGCGTATACTTAGAGCATTTATACCAGGAGGTGCCATTGCGTTCACTCGCCGAACAAAATTTTTCACCATTTTTGGTGCGGGACGAGGTACACACGTATAGCACACTAATGAAAATATGCAATACTCCCACAAACACGAGCGTGTTGTTGCTATAAACACACACTTCAAAAATTACGTCACACAAATAAAAAAACGCACACACGCTAACAATTTTTATGTAACTATGCAATTGTTCGAGCGTACACCAACACAAAATTATTGATGTGGCATTAAAAGAATGAACGATATTTGAATGAATAGTTCTTGATGAATGAACATAATATTTGTTTATAATGAAAACAACATGTTTGATTTATAAATATCTATCTGAAAGCTTATTTATAGTTTTAGTACTTATGATTTTTATGCTCCAAATTCAATGTTTATTTTTGCAAATTATATTGCTGTGCAAAAAATCTTTCCAACTGATTTTGCTGCCTTTTATCGGATAACCTGCCTGTATTTAATTGCTCTTACACCCTTAATAATATCAAACGTAGTATATCGACACAAAACACTGCGTAACTGACCCAAGCTTATCCATTCTTTGTTTAATATAATGGGGATAGCGAAAAAATATACTGCAGTGAATTAAAGTTATTTGTTTTATTGATAATGTTTTCCTCAGTGGCTTAAAAAGTCAATAATTTTATCATGTGTCATTAATAAGAAAAAAAAACTCAATGATTTCAAGCTTTCGGCAAAGATCAATCCCATGCTTTCAACGAGTGCTTCGCTAGCGTATATATATATATATATATAGAAAATGATAAAAAAATATTAACCTATATATTTCGGAAATCTGGGGGCACGGCAGTGCCCCCGCCAAGTTAAGCAAAATGAGCGGCACGGCCGTACCACCCTTTTCTCGAAACAGTTCAGGCCATTTTCAACTCCCTATAACTTCGTTGGCGATAAAAGTAGAAGCCTGTGTTCAGTAACCAAATAGGCATTGTATAAACTCGATATATCCCAAATTTTATTGAATTTGAGCCAGTAGTTTAAGAATTATAACTAGTGAAAGTTTCTTAATTTTGTCACTTACTGACCGACCGATCATCAAAACTCTAAGGCACTTCTAGCAGACATAGAAGCTTTAAATTTAGAATACAGTATTGTTAAAGTATAAATTAAGGAAAAAAATAAATTAATATATTTTGCAATTTCGGCCCAGTTTTCTAGATATACTAACTGCATAAATAACTTTGTAATCTCACATAAATATATAGGATTACAAAGTAACATTTGCAGTTAATGAATCAGTGTATGTGTTATATAAATGTTGTACTCTATTATAATAGAGGGCGTAGATAAGTATCTAGGTATAATAATTTGGAATACCATAATTATATGATTTATATTTTAGAATAGAACGCGAATCGAATGGTTTTAGAGTTCGAATCAATTTGAATATGTTTTATTTACTTTTACTTTTTACCGTAAGACGGAGCTGTATATAGTTAGTTCACGAAATGACAGTTGCTTTTGCATTTATATAGACGTTGAACGTTGATTGGATAATTCTTAGGTATTACATTGTAATCGAACCAAAAGTTAGAGTCTAAGTCTAAATAATGCGTTGATTGATATCGGTTCTGCAGTATTCATATCTGGTCAAGCTTACGTAGCACTTTCGAGAGTTACAAATCTTGGCGGCTTACATTTAATTAATCTCGACCTCAATTTGTGAATATAAATAGACTTAGAAGCAATTATCGTTCGGACTTGAAAAAGCTTTTAACATCAAAGCCTCCTAGAAAAACCCATAGATACAGGGAGTGGGCTTTGAGAAAAGCTGTAGCTGAAGCTCAGGAAGTAGTACCGGAAAAGTAAAAGAGGAACCTACAAAAATAAAAAAGGTCACAAGACAGCTCATCAGAAGACTTGTTTGTATTCAAGAAGTAAAAGGTACCTGAAAGAAATAAGTAGGGCTATCTACAAAAAGAAATGAGATGCCATCAAAAACATAACTTGTAAAAAAACAAAGTGTCGCAACTCAGTTCTACTTCTACTTTTTATTTTCTTTCTTCTTTTTTTCCGACACTCACACCAATTAGCCTAGCCCCAAAGTAAGCACTATAAGGCTTGTGTTATGGGATGCTAGGGTAACGGATACAATACATATACTGTACATATATAAGTATATTTATATAAATACATATTAAACATCCATGACTGGAGTACAAATGCTCGTATTCATCACACAAACATCTGCCCCCACCGGGATTCGAACCCGGGACCTCTCGAGTCGGCGACAGCCATGAAAACCGGCGTACAAACCACTCGGCCACGGAGGTCGTCTAAACTCTACTACCGTCAAAAGTTGTGAGATCCATGTTATGCCAAGTCGGTTGCCAGTAATTTATTCAGTCTCTACTTAAGGAACCTTTTGTCTTTAGTTATTACGAAATTAGCTCACCTAACAACATCTTATACTGACCATATCAATATTGAAAATATTGTATGTTTTAAATAAATAAATTTACTTGGCAATCGCACTCAACAATCTAATTTAATATAATATGGGAGATACATTGTGTTTTCATGCGATTGACTTGGTTTTTTACAAGTCATGATTTTGATGGCATACGCATTTAGTACATACGTACTGAGCTCAACAGCCCAGGTGGTTAGCGCGTTCGGCTTGCGATCGTGGAAGTTAAGCAACTTTGGCAATGGTCGGTAATTTGAAGGGTGACCTTATTATCTCGAGCTCCTGTCGAAGCCTGTGCTCTGCCCCTTCAGTGGGGATATTAATAGGCTAATACTGATAATGTATTGAGTATATTATTTGGAAAAGAAATCAAGAACGATCTCCTCTGCCCCACAATATAAGTTAAATATATAGCATTTCAGACCATTTCAAGGAATTTAACGTTATGTGTTTGTTCCAAAGCTTGACAAATTTTTCTTTTTTTTTAAATATGAAGAAATATTTTATCCAAAACCGTTACTATTTCAAAAAATCAACCTCGTGCATATACGTACTACAATAATAGAGTCTATTGAAATAAGAAAAGAGATGTTTTGATACCGGGATCGCCTATATAGGATTTCGTATCTCAAAAGGAAAAAACGAACCCTTATAGGATCACTTTGATGTCCGTCCGTACGTCCGTTCGTCTGTCAAGACCATTTTCGCAGTATCAAACTGAAATTCAAATCTAATACTCAGGTCTACTGACCCTTGGAGCTGTGAAAAAAATCAAACTTCTAAGCCAAAGCAATCAAAAGATACAGCCGTTTATGCCGCAAATTTCCGCAAATTTTCGAAACTCGCACGAGAATCAAAACCTACAGGGTACTTCCCGTGAACTTTAGATCAAGGTAAGTCTAAGCTAAATTGTTTGGAAGAATTTCTCAAAAGGTAGCGGTACCTTTCACGTCACACGCCACACGTCTTACCATGCAACTCCTCGGTGTTGCGAAGAGAAGCCATTATTATTCGCTAAAAATATGTTAATTGGACGGTACGAGAACGGAAAAAAGTGTTATTTCAGATGAAACAAAAATAAATATGGTAAATTCCGATGGAAAGCGAAAATGAAAATTATAAATACACAAGGAGTATATGCAGTCAAGCAAGATGACATTAAAGTTTGTGGGGTGTTTTTCGGATGTGGAGTTGGATCCGTTCGGAAGATTGAAGATACAATGGATCAATGGCATTACAAAAATGCCTTAAGAGCACACAATGATTCCCTACTTGTACGATCATTTGCCTGTCACCTGGATCTTTCAGCATGACAATTAGAAACCCTACCAATGGTCCTTGACATTATGTAAGATACTTCGCGGCAATCGTTTTTATTTTTCAACGATTTATCATTTATTAGAAAAACAATATAAATCCTATTACACACGTGCAGTTTCATTATTACATTACGGACAAACATTTAAAATAGTTTTAAGGTATGAACAATAATTGTCAAATAATTAGAAACAACAATAAAAAAGTATAAAAACTTTTTTATACATTTTTTTAAAAACTTAAAAAGTATTAGTAATTAGTATGGTACACCTTAAAGTACTTATCTGTATTAACCAGACAGCTTCCATAGAGCTCCAAGTTTCTGGAAATTGTATGTCCTTAAGTTGTAATATATGTCGGCCCAGATGAATAGTAATAAGGTACCACTTTTGTGGATTACAATAAAATACGCTACTACATATAAAAGAAACTGTGTTTTAAAAACTCTAGTAAAAAGATAAATTAATATAAGTTATGGCGAAAACATTATTTGATTTGTCTAAAAAACCTAAAATTCTCTTGAATACAGAACCTTAACAATATAAGTTCTTATCTTCTTGGTTATAGAGAAATACAAATTGCAAAATCCATGAACAAACGTTCGTGTGGATATCGTAAACGTTGTTTTTTTTCACGACACGACAATAATCAGGGTGCAACTAAATAAAATCTAGCATTGATGGCATTTTCCTCTTAATTTGACATTTGAAAGCTATTAAAAAAGTTTGTTAATTAAAAGGTAATAAAAGTCGCTCGATGTGGGCAGCTGACCTGATAATTAATTACTTAATTTGATTTATTTTCTTCTACCTATATGCTATTTACATCAATGGTGTCGATTCCGGCATGATTCTCTAAACCTAAACAACAGTGTATCCTTGTCATTTTCTATGCAGAATGAAAAGGAGAGATTGATGTTAAATTTAGTTTTAAGTTTAAAGAATCATGCCAGAATCGACACCACTGTATTGCCAATAAACAAACAAAAAAAAATAGTAAGTTAATTATGGTGTCGATTCCGGCATAATTCTCTAAAGCTTAAATTTTTGATAACAATGGTGTCGATTCTGTCATGATTCTCTAAACTTAAAACTAAATTTGAGATCAGTCTCTCCTTTTCACTCTGTATAGAGAATGACAAGGATAGACTGTTGTCAAATTTAAGTTTAGGTTTAGAGAATCATAGCAGAATTGACACCAATGTATCCTTATCTTTCTCTATACAGAATGAAAAGGAGTGACTAATATTAAATTTAGTTAAGAGAATTATGCATGCCAGAATCGACACTTTATTATTGTTTATAATTTTTATGTGGCTATTTACCGGCATCGATATAAAGTACTTTTAAAACATATTATCGTATTTCAACGTCGAAAGAGAGATTTTGGTGTCGAATATGGAAGCGTTCTCTAAACTTAAATTTGACAAGTGTATCCTTGTCATCCTCTATACAGAATGAAAAGGAGATACTAATATTAAATTTAGTTTTAAGCTTAGAGAACCAGGCAAGAATCGACACCTTTGTTTGGTTAAGTTATAGATCGTGAATGATCGAATATTTGTTTTTTTTTATAAGATCTGTCGATGTATATTTGTTTTATCAACATGCTATTTGTATCGACAAATACACTATTAAATCTGGTTGAATATTTTCCAGTATAAAAAATACCATTCATTCATTTCATTCTTTTTTCGTCACATCACTATGAATTTCTACCTATTATTTTTGTCATTCATTCGTGATTTCGCGCCTTTTCTTTTAATTGAATTTTATACCAGAATACTAACTTTTAGAACCTAAAAATACTTGTATATGATAGAAATCACCATGTTTCAGCAAAATTGAAGTGGCAGATCGGTTTTTGCGTGGGAAAACAACATCATTTTCCATTTTTGTGGGAGCTCCGACTCACGCTGCGGAACGATCTAAAGTGGTAGCGGTCTCGCGTGAACTAGTTTTATATAACGTTTTGGCGGAGGGGTACGCCCGTCCATGCTCTCTCCAGGTATAAATGCTCTAAGGGCGTATAAACTACACGGCCACGAAGGTCGTCAACTCCGTAAAAAACTTTTACTAACTTGTCCAATTTGTATAGAGTATGTGATACTCTAGAAACAACGTTGATACCAATTTCACGGCATTTGGACATGATATTGTGATCTCGGACCCGACCGTACGGTTCCGGATCTTCCTCGAATGTGAGCTCGGTAGTGCCCCACTCGCGGAACAACTTTGGCAGGGCGTCTGCCGGCTGCCCACGCACTACGAACAATCTGGAATTCAACCGCCTTAAGCTGCAATCCAAGTCTTCCAGGCATTGTAAAAGGAATCTGTAAGAAGCAGAATTAAATGGTTAGGTAATAAAAACGTATCTTTGATTAATTAACGGTTATTCATGCAAGTAATTAAGCTCCTGTACCCAATTCCAAGTTTTTAAAATTGAGTTATCAACCCTGTCTTACGAACGAGCACGCGCGACGACTTTTGCTGACAGTTTTTGTTTACAATCTGTAGCACAACGCCAACTAGTTGTCAAGAGAGGCCTACAAAAGTACTTGCGATGATAACGATAAGTCGCAGTTCTCCGCAACAGGGACTAAAGAGTCCTTGTATATTTAGACAATTTCTGTCTCTTCATCATCATATCGTACCCCTACGACGCCCATTGCTGAGCATAGGCCTTCCCCAAGGATGTCCACACCGATCGGTCCTGCATCACTCGCATCCATCGGCTTCCCGCGACCTTCACTTGAACGACGGTCGTTCTTCACAACCACGTGAGTGGGGGCCCGCCTACTGAACTTCGTTTGGTACGCGGTGGTTATTCGAGAACCGTTCCGCTCCAACGGCCATCGGTTCTTCTCGCTACGTGGTCCCCTTGTCATTTCAGCAGAGCAATCCATCAAGCTATATCGGTTACTTTAGTTCCCATATAGATTGCCTCGCATCTGAATACATTCGATCTGGTATCAGCGTCAGTGCCTCTGATGCTGAGTACCGAGAACGATTAACGTGTCACGTCAGAGTAACGTTGGTAGAAGCTGTCCTATATTGAACAGGTAGAGCAGCACCTCTTTGTATTTTCTCCATGCTTATACCAGGGCCCTGTTTCACCAAGCCGACATGTGTCACTGACATATGTAAGCTGGCGGTTTGTTGTGGGGTATCTACCTAATGCATCGATTTCCTTAATTAAATGTCGATACTGGTTTTATTTACGCTGAATTATTCTTTGAACGCATATTCAGTGATAACAAAGCATAAATTAATTCGTTCTTTATAAATTCCCCTATATAAGAACTTACCTGATTAAGCTTTCGCAGATAGCCACTTTGTGTAACGGCGAAAACACTACAAATGTAACGCAAATCTGACACAGCCTCGTTCTCATGTCAAGAATTATGTACCGAAAATTTGTCAAATATTTCGAATAAAAAAATTACCTTTATTGCACAATATAATTGTTATAATTTTTATTATTTTTAAGCATGTAACTGCTTGATGTTTAAATCTAATGAAAATATAACTAGATAAAATTCCACGCGGACCAGGCAGCAGATGGGACTCGAACCCGCACCCTTCGCAATCCGGGCGAATGCACTGACCATCTCGAGAGATGGCACTGCCTTGCAGCTTAAGAATGGCTAGAAGAATTTCGACGCGGTCCGTGAGGGCCGCGGTAGCATAATTGGTCAGTGCATTCGTCCGGATTGCGAAGGGTGCGGGTTCGAGTCCCGTCTGCTGCGTGGTCCGCGTGGAATTTTATCTAGTTATATTTTCTTTACATTTAAACATCAAGCAGTTACATGCTTAAAAATAATAAAAATTATAACTATAATTGCTATTTCTTCTTTCAAATGTTTAATACTTGTAAAAGTATTCATTTGACATTGTGGGTTACCTATAATGCGAAGAGATGGCACTGCCTTGCAGCTTAAGAATGGCTTGAAGAATTTCGACGCGGTCCGTGAGGGCCGCGGTAGCATAATTGGTCAGTGCAGCATTAGCTAGCATAGCACATTCGCCCGGATTGCGAAGGGTGCGGGTTCGAGTCCCGTCTGCTGCCTGGTCCGCGTGGAATTTTATCTAGTTATAATATAATTGTTGTTGAAGTATGATACGCAAATACAAACAATTGTAACAAAATTCCTGTTGTTTTTATGACATATGTCAGCAGGCGCGGTCGTAGCCTGAAATTTTGGAGGGGGTCACTCATTACACTAATAAAAAAAAACGGGCCAAGTGCGAGTCGGACTCGCGCACCGAGGGTTCCGTACAAACCTGAATTTTCAAAAATATTTTTTATTATATGATGCAACTAAAAATTTACGGATTTCGCAATTTTTTCTTTATCTGTACTATATAACGTTACTTCGTACCAAATTTCAAGATTCTAAGTTCACGGGACGTACCTTGTAGGTTTTGATTCCCGTGCGAGTTTGCGAAAATTTGCAGCATAAACGGCTGATCTTTTGATGGCTTTGGCTTAGAAGTTTGATTTTTTCACAGCTCTAAGGGACAGTAGACCTGAGTATTAGATATGAATTTAAGTTTGATACCTCCAGGCGTTCCTGAGAAAAACGGTCTTGACAGAGGGACAGACAACAATGTGCTCCTATAAGTTTTCCGATTTTTCCGTTTGAGGTACGGAACCCTAAAAATAGGTATCTGGAATAAAATAAACATTATTGCACAAGACACAATTTTATTTTATATAAAATCAAGTGGAAGTCGTCTTTTTTTATTGTATTTGCGAATCGTTTGATAATATTTGAGACGTCTGGTACTATTTCCGGGTCAATGTTTAGAAGAGCTAAATCTGTTAATCGCTCTTGTAACATGTTAGCTCTCAACCACGTATTTAACTAAGTAGACAGCCTTTATCTTGAATCTTAACAATAAACCGGCAAATTACATTATAAGAATATTGTTATACAATCTTATCATGACGACGCATATCGATTTGCTAGGATTACCAAAACTACGTAGTTCGGTTCCTTGTTTCTAAAGTAGTACTAGATGTCATTTCCAAGTTATTTTGACCATCCTACGTAGTTCATAAAAACACCACTAGATGTCAGCAAACTATAAATTTATCGCTGTTAGGAGATAGCTAGAAATTTCCTTTTATTATTTGGCAAATTATTGAGATTTTTCAATTTGACCTGAGATTGGGGGGGGGGGGGGTCATGTCCCCTGTGACACCCCCCACCCCCCCCACCCCCCCCCCCCCCCTTCGGACCGCGCCTGTTTGTCAGTGATATATGTCGACTTAGTGAAATAGGGCCCTGATGGTCCTGACAAAAAATTAAGATCTATTAACAATCGGCTTACTAGATCTTAATTTTGCCATCTTGACCGTGCACAGCTGTTGGAATTTCATATAGTGAGCGGAGTGCCCCAGGTTCTTATGTAGACTGTTTACGAATGCGGTTGCTACGTGACATCTACATGTGTGTTTGCTTGGAATAGGGTAGGTACATTCATTATAATTTTATTTTTAAGGTAGCATTGTTTTTTAAGCAGCTTTTGTGTACTTACCTCCATTTATTGATTCCGACATTAGACGAGCTGGCAAACCACGGGTCTATGATGAAGACACAGCGAAATGTGACCGCATTGTTGAGGCCTTCTCTCAACGCGGGATTGTCATGAAGGCGTAAGCCCTTTCGGAACCAGTGCACCGTGTGTTTGCCGGTGGGATTACATTTTGAGGGTGTGGGCGCCAACGCCGCTGGCCCGTGAGTTCGGGCGGCAGTCGACGACGGCAGTGTTTGCGCAGCAGCAGACATCTCTACGTCGTCACCCACATGGCAATATGCTGTCCAACATACATTCATATATAATAGTAATAATGCACCATTTCCGCCTGCAAGGCGGCAAAACAAAAAGGAGTGCGATAGCATCAAATATATAAACAATAATAGTGATTTTTTCCTAACTGTTCTAATTTAATAAACAATCCATAACATTTAACAATTTGACAACATGTAACTTAGGGCATATTGGTTGATACATAGTTATGGGTGGCTATAATTAAAAACTATTGGTAAAAGTAATCATTCGTCTCATTAAACTATGTATTAAACAACGAGGCCTTAGGAAAGCATTAAATTAACTTCACTTTTCTGAGTACAGCTTTTAAACCCACAAAATTATAAAACACAAGCAGTCCGGCTCGAACGAGTAAGGCGAAATTAAAAACTATGTAAAGGACAGGGGACCCTTTAATAACTATGTAGGATGAAAGAAACGATCCTGATCAATAACACAAGAAAAATGCTAATGAGAACAATGCACATATATATTGATCCTATGAAAGCATCGACAGAACGACATCGAGTAATATCACCTCGAAAGTATCTCGCATAGGCATAAAACATCGTTAGCGTGATTTACTTTTTCTATAGCGCCATCTATTAAACATTGATGGAACTTAAGTACAAAATTGTCGCGTCTATATTAATGAGTGAGTGAGTCAAATTCTCAATCTCTCAACCCCTATATTTCACTCTAAGGGTTGAATCTTGAAACACCATGAAATACAAGTTTGAATATTATATGTATAAATTTTTTAATTTGTTTTTTGCCCAATTTTAAATTAATCAACATAAAAATAAGCCATACGAACTTTTAACCCTTATTTTACACAATTAAGGGTAAAAATTTTAAAACTCCTATCTTATTAATTGTCTAGTTAATAAAAGGTACCTATTGTCCAAAGGGCAATGCCCGCTTTGTATGAGAATTTGGCTAAACAAGGACAGACATTTTAACAAGTGAAACTATAAGTTTAAACTACCCCGAACCTTTGAATCATTATAATTTTGTATCAGTATTCTTTAAAACTAACTAAGAGCAGGAATGAATAAATAAATAAATATTTCCAAGACTCACACCAATTAGCCTAGCCCCACAGTAAGCATTACAGCTTGTATTATGGGATACCAGGATTACAGATAGAATACATATACTGTACATATATAAGCATATTTATATAGAAATACATATTAAACATCCATGACTGGAGTACAAATGCTCGTATTCATCACACAAACATCTGCCCCCACCGGGATTCAAACCCGGGACCTCTCGAGTCAGCAACACCATGAAACCCAGCATACGAACCACTCGGCCACGGAGGAAGGAAGTGATTGTATTATTTATTTATATTTCATTTTATTGTATTTTCAATGAAACTCTCCACTATATTACAGTCATATAAATTAGTCAAAAAATAAATAAAATAATATTATAAAATTGATATTTGTCAAGCACCTTATCCACACTGAGCCTATTTTGGGCATTGCCCTTTCATCATTCTAGGTTCAGGGGTTTTGTTTCCACATTGATGAGTCAGTCAATCAGATTTTTTCTTCATATAATATTGTAGATTCAAGAGTGCTTACTTTTAATTTTCAAGTCTAATTATTCAATAACTTGCAGGCATGATCGTACTGTCAAGTTTAAGTGAAGTCATGAAGAAATGTGTTTAAAAAAATTATATCTTGCTAAATTACCTGAATTTAAATTCAAGTTTTAATATTTTATTGTACTTGGAACACTGCCATTTCCATGCTCAATACATATTAAATTACTTTTTACTTTATTGTTTTGGTACATTGATCTTATTGAGAATGACAGAAATTTCATCATAAAAGAGATGAAACAAGTGAGATAGGAAATTTTGATATTTTGTATTTGTGAATACCCCTATTTTAAAAATTGTTCTACGCCAGATGGACTCCAGATATATAAAAAAAATATAAAATATGTTATAAACGTACTTCTACCACAACCATACTTCATTGGCACCATATTTGGCATTGGTTGCCTGTCCATAGCTGAAAATAGTTTTGAAAAACACATACAAGGTAAATAGGGGTGATGACAGTAAACGAAATTCTATATAGTCTGTAAGTTATCAAAAAATAAGTGACACATATTTTTTCTTTTGTCAATCACCAAAAAAATTTCAAAGACAAAGTGCATTATCGCAAGCAATTGGGAGTCAGGGCTAGTGAAGTCACTTCTAAGTAAAAATTTAACCAAGATGTGACGTCATGCAACATTTTTATAGAAGATATTTTTTTCAATAGTTTTTTAAAAAAGTTAGGCATCATTCCTATGTATGAATCTGTAATTTCATAATTTTATTAAATAGTATATTTATTAATGTTTAAGGTATAATTCTGAACAGTTAACACTAGTGGTAAAGTAACATAAAAAAACATTCACTATTTAAATTTAATTTGATTAAAAGCAGTTTAACCTCTCCAGCGGCCAAGCGCATGCGCCGTTCATCCCTACTTGCGGCGACCACCCTTATGAGAACCCCCGTGGAGTGGAAACGATTGCGTTGTTTTGGCGATTTCTCTGTTATTTTGTAAGAATTCCCTACACAAACTATATATATATATATATATATATATATTTGGATTCTCCATAAAATTTACTATAAAAGTGACACAATGCGTCTAATAATCTATTTTAATTACTTTACGGTGAACTCGGGAGATAAAGATATAAAGGTCAACCAACTTCATGCTGTTACTTTTCTGTTTACCGCACATTAAGAAAATCTACCAACAAAATAGAAATAGAATCTCTATTTAGTGGGTGCTAACGACTGCATTGTGAAGGCCTATCAAAAGTATTTATCAATCTGGAACAACGGAACCAAAGCGCGATTCAGGAGACTACAGCGCCATCTCTTGACCATTGGTGTAGTAGAACCAAAAACCACATCTTTATTTTTTGTAATAAAGTAACAGTTATAGGTATTCATATTTATAATATCAAAAGTATTTATTAATCTGGAACAACGGAACCAAAAAAATAAAGTTCATCTCGTCGCTACCCTGTACTCAGTATCTCCCCTGCACAGTGTTTTATGGAACCAAAAAAATTTACACCTTAAGATTTTTGCATAAATCAATTATTTATACCCTAATAAAGGCAAGAGTTCAATTCTCAGATCACTATTTCCATTAAAAAAAAAGATATGAAGTAGCAAAGTTTTTAAAATTTGAGCATTAAAAAATTAACAATATAATTTCCTCAAAAGACGGTTCCATATCTGTCCATGAGATATTTGCCACTTGATAAGGAATTATTGAAGGCATAATTTTGCAATTTTATTTTATTTATAAGTGTCCTAGTTTCCGAGAAATATATTTTTTTTAAATTTCGATTTTTAATTTTTTTCTCCAAATATCGGCAAAAGTGGAACCTGGATTTAGTACAGAAAGGTTCTATAAGCCAAGTTCTATCACCCATAAAAAAATCAGGTTCCACTTTTGCGGTTTTAAGAAGTTATGACAGAATTTAGATAAAGGTCAACTTTCATGATCTAGGATTGTCACAAAGGTCAACTATGAGTTAAATGAAAATGTTAAATTTTTTGTTTGTTAATTAATACCGTCAATCAATTGAATAAATTAACAACACTTGTGGACGAATACAATATACTTACATATACTAGGTACCTTCCCTAATGTAGATGTGATAATGTAGGAATACTTTATGTTTGTTCGACCACATTTTAACTTTGTACCTTACACGCTAAACGGTAACGAAAAAATGAACTATGTTGCTTGAAAAAAATTTCAAAATTCATTCAGAATCATTCAGGCATTCGATCAGAAAATAAAAGCAAATCTTGGGCATAAATCAGTTAGTAGGTGTAACTATTATTGTTACAAAAAAAACGTAGAGGTAAGCAGGCATGAACTTGTGTCTAATTGGGTCTCCAAAACACACACAAAACAAACAATTAATAGTTAATACTCAAACCCGAAAACGAAAATCGATATTCATTATAATGACTTCCGCCTTGACTGGGAATCACCATAAGCGTTCCTTTTTTGCAAATAGAGCTTGGAGCCCATAAAAATATGTTAAAGGTACTGTAGTTAGTTCCTAAAATCTACATTATTGTAAACTCGTTCAAAACTAATACACAAATTTATATTTTAAAAATTTTCGTTCGAGGTCAGGTTCGGTGTCAACCCTAGCATAAAAATTTAAAAATGAATATCTTCTAATCGCCGCAAAAGTGACACGTGGCTTATTTATGTATGATAGACCACATCCGTAGGTTTATTTCTATCGAAGTTCTAGGTTCCACTTTTTTGTTTTTAGGGAGACAAAACAATAAATACGAAATACAAAAAAAAAATTGCTGCTCCCAAACCAATGCAGAAACGCATTTATACGCCTCTGATTATGCCCGATTGACACACATTTATTAAAAAAATATATTGTTAATATTCACTTTATAAAAAAATATTCTAGATTTCATAGGTCAAAGGTCACGATAAGTTCATGATTTTTTTTCTCAAAAAGTATTTGAGTTAGACTTCTGGGAATTGAACTCATGCCTTTTTTAGGGTATAAATAATCTATTTATGTAAAAACCTGAACATGTAAATTTTTTTGGTTCCATAAAACACTGTGCCCTGGAGTCTCGTAAAACGAGAATAAATTAAAAAAATGACTGATCATCTTAAAATCATATTAAAATCATCTGTCTTGATAAAGGTAGTGGTATAGTTATATAAATATCCACACTTTTTGCTGTGCCACCGCTTCCATACAACCAATTACCTCTTAACACTTAAGGACTCGCTAATGGGTCCAGTGGACCCAGTGCCTTTTATTTTGTTGAATTACTTAATAATTACGAAGTTTGCGATGTTGCCGCTCTTAGTACCTTTCGACAATAGTATGAGGCGATAGATCTCCTTCTTAGCTGTCAGTTAGCACGCTGCGTGCGAGTGCTATGGACGTGAAAGGTGTGTATGGGTCCGTTGGACCCGGTAGCGACTAAATACGTTAG